AACATGCCTAGTAATGTTATATGTGATTGGAAAACTCAAATATCGTTTCCTCTTGAAAAAATCCTAAATATATCCTCTGGTTTATCTTGAAAAATCCCTAATGGATTTATAATTCCCGAAATGAGAATTTACTTAAGTATTATTAAGTGCCATTATTTACTTTTTAAAGAGTTGCGAATGGGGTTATTAACCTCATATAGAAGGAATAATATGTACCATTATGTGCTCAATAAAGAGTTGATAATGGACTTATTTATTATCTCAGTCAGTATTTATGGTGTAAACATCAATGAAATATATAAAGAGTTTGATGATGTTAAGTTATGAGATGAGATAACGAATAGCAAATCAAGGTACAAATACCCGTATTGATGCTTTTTGGCATGAAGTCATCATACTTGTTACAGATAAAAACGTATATAGTTTTTTATGATATAAAATACCTTGATCCACATAACTCCAGAAGAGTGATAAAATATTTGTTCAGAAGGTTTGCTCTAGTGACAAGTTAGCAAATGTATACCTACAAAATATCCATAAGATTGATATGTGTAGGTAAAGAAAAATCATTATATTTAAGCTATTTAGAACTTGAAGATTGTTATCTTCAGGGGGAGACGAGAAGTACATTCACTCGAGTCAATCCTGTAGATTGGTCAATCATGTAGATTGGGTCTTAAAAGGAATAATAGTTATACTTTTTGCAGCATATACATACCATGTACTCTTTTCCTCACTAGGTTTTCCCAATGAGTTTTCTAGTGTGGTTTTAACAAGGCATGAGTATGATATTGTAATGACAATGGGGAAAGTTGCAAAATAATTGGTTAATAAATGAACAAACTCCAAAATCCTGAAGATTATGCAGATTATGCCCTGAAGGCTTATGGTATATTCTTTTTCCCTTAACTAAGTTTTTCCCACAGGGTTTTCTTAAGTTAAGGTTTTTAATGAGGCAACCAATACAATATATGTTCTTTACAAATATCATGTACTCTTTTCTTCAACTAGGTTTTTCCCACGTGGTTTTCCTAGTGAAGTTTTTAACGAGGCATGAATATAATTGCCCATAAATCTTGTACTCTTTTCTTGTCTAGGTTTTTTCCCACAGGGTTTTCCTAGCAAGTTTTTAACGAGGCACGATTGGGGAGTGTTATAAATATATGTATTAAGTGGACATTATTAGTGTAACGGATGTAACGGTTTGTCATTATGCTTATCATGTATATTTGTATATTATATATACCATTTGTACATGGGGAAGAGGTTGAATAAGAATTCCTTTGTGCAATCTAGTGTTGTCTCTCTATTTTCCTGCTCATTGTCTCAATTCACCGAGATAAACGCTAAAGGTCAAATGGATTACAACAGGTTTTGAGAATTCATGTTTTTATGTTAGATAGGTGTCTTAGACTAATTCTCATTCGTACCATACTAGCCCAATTAGGGTGGTTTTTCTATACGAGAGGGGTTCAAACTCTAAATCTCTCTTAAGGGATAAGAGTGCACAACCACTCAGGCCAACCAAGTTGGGTATTAAAGAAAACTGAAATCAAAAGAAAATATTCATTAGGATCGGAAAAACAAAAACCCAAGATGGTTGAAAATGTTTTTCTAAATTTTTAGTCGGAAACTTTTTTTGGATTATTTGTTTTCCATATTTATCTGTTCTCTCATCTCTTTTCATACTAGTTTCCAAATTATTATTACCACCACTTATTAGAGGGAATTTCAATTTTGGTCATCTGACTATAAGGGTGTTGTTAATTTCAGTCCCTGACTTTCAAAAGTGTCATTTTAGTACTTTAACTATGCAATATTTGTCAATTTTAGTGACTCCGGTCAAATTGTCGGCCAAATTTCGCCGAAAAATTTTAATAGTTAAAATAATGAGGATATTTTGGTCGTTTCACACCTCTTTTCTTCTTCTCTAACGAGTCCATCTCTTTCTCTCCCGTTTCCGGCGTTCTTTCTCCCTCTAAACCCTATCTTTAATATCATCAAGCTTCCTTTCCCCATCATTTTACTTCATTGCATTCACCGGAAACGGGAGTGGAAGGGATGGACTCGTCTGGGAAGAAGAAAAGAGACGTGAAATGATCAAAATACTCTCATTATTTTAACAAATTAAAATTTTTCGGGGAGATTTGGCCGGCAATTTGGTCGGAGTGACAAAAATTGCATAGTTAAGGTACTAAATTGACACTTTAAAAGTCAAGGACTGAAATTAACAAGACCCATATAATCATATGACCAAAATTGAAATTTTCTCCCACTTATTATTATTATTATTATTATTATTATTATTATTATTATTATTATTATTACTATTATTATTATATAACAAATAATATGTTCATTTAAAAAAAATGAACCAAACAAAAGAATATAATTTTCAGCTAAACATTAAAAAAATTAAATTATTTCTCAAAAAATAGTCATTTTTTGTAAATTATTTTTCAAATTTTCAAACAAGAGGTTCATGATAGTCAGCTTCCTATTTTCAACCTGAAGCTTTGAAGCTTCTATCCACTGTTCCTCCCTGCATTCTTATTTCACAAATACAAATTCTCTAATAATTCTATGTAAATCCACCAATTAATTCAAACACATAGAACTAAATAATTAATAAGAATATTTTCAGTTTACAAAAAAAAAAAAAAAAAGAGGAAAAAGGTAAAATAAGACCCTAAATTTTATCCAAGAAGTCAATTAGGTTCTTAAAATTTTAAAAGTTGTAATTAAACTCACAAATATATTATTTTGGAGCAATGAAACTCACAAACCTATTGGTGACCTGTAATAGCATGTCACTAATGGCATGTTTGGTTCATGGAATAGGTCAGGAATGGAATAACATTCCTTGGAATAGACCTATTCCATCGTTTGGTTGGATCATTTTGCCATGGGAATAGCATGCCTAGGAATGAGCTATTACCTTCGCAAAGTGAATAGTCATTCCTAAGGGGTATGTTTGGTTCATGAAATAGGTCAGGAATGGAATAACATTCCTTGGAATAGACCTATTCTATCGTTTGGTTGGATCATTTTGCCATGGGAATAGCATGCCTAGGAATGAGCTATAACCTTCGCAAGGGGAATAGCCATTCCTAGGGGGGCCTTGGTATTAGCTATTCCCATGCCCTTGGGAATAACTTTTATATCACAAATACCAAAAATACCCTTTGCACATTATATAATATTTATATTTATTTAATAAATATAGTGTATTATATAAATCCTTCCCTATATATATATATATATATATATATATATATATATATATATATATATATATATACACACACACACACACATTTTGTAGCATTTGCAATTAGCATTTTGAGAAAAGAAAAGTATTTTCTCAAAATACCAACCTTGAGAGTTTATATATATATATATATATATATATATATATATATATATATATATATATATATATATATATATATATATAACATTCAATATATCATAATCATATTTATTATTATTATTATTATTATTATTATTATTATGTATAAGGGTATTTATGTCTTTAAAACCTATTCCATTTCTATTCCTTTAACCAACCAAACACTGGAATACAATTACTAAAGTCTATTCCTTCAACCAACCAAACAACAGAATACAATTCATATTCTATTCCTTACCTATTCCATTCCATGTGGAAGCATTCCTATTCCCTCCAAATTCATTTTGTGAACCAAACGTATTCCTATTCCCTCCAAATTCCTTACCTATTCCATTCCATGTGGAAGCATTCCTATTCCCTCCAAATTCATTTTGTGAACCAAACGTATTCCTATTCCCTCCAAATTCATTTTGTGAACCAAACGTGTTGTAAGGCTCCGGCCAATTCCAACGAACCTGCGGCAAATATCTGACCCAATTCATGTCAAATACCAGCGATCAATGATCGTCAATCGCCAGTCGCGTTTGGAGAAGATAACCAACTTGGTAAGATATTAAAATATCTTATTTCACATGTAATTATTCTTAATATGTGTTTACTCTCTGGATTAGTTAGACAAAACATATCCAATAAAATATTTGATGAACATTTGAATACTGTATTCTTACAACAACTCACTTTTTAACCAGAGATATTCTTTCACCTCTGATAATCATCAGCATATATTTACAATGATTTGGCTGAATCTCTCTTTCTGATTACGTTAATTTCTTACCATGCATAGCATTTCACTCAATGACTCTGACGCTATATAAACACTAACAATAACAATTTCCATTACAAATTACAATCCACTAAAACAATGGCCAACTTTTCCATCCTAACCCTAACACTATGGCTTCTGTTTCTCTCTGTGAAACCAACCACCAGTCAGCAACCCATAGAGAATCTGTGTGCCAAAGCCAGTGATACAAATTTCTGCCTTGAAGTTCTGGTCACAAGTCCTTCTCAGTCACTGGATACTCTACTGAAAACCGCGGTCATAGAAGCGGCCGAAAATGCCTTGGCGACTGGTGCGAAGATCAACGATCTTCTCACAGACCCAAATAATCATCCCGACTTGACAGTGGCTTATTTTCAGTGCTCGAATTACTATAGCGCGGCCGTGGCAGCGTTAGAGGCCGCGTCTGAGCTTCTCGACTCTCGTCCAGCCGCAGATGTTGTGAACGACGTCGCGTCAGCAGCCTCGACCGTGGAGAAAGGTGGCGATAGCTGCGAGGCTTCCTTCAGGAATGGTGCCACCCGCACTCTTTCCTCGGATAACCAAGCCCTCAAGCACCATGGCAATGTTATATCACTTGTTTGTGCTGCTATATAATATAACCTGCATCATCAAACTGAAAATCAATATCTAAATTCTATATTGAAAGCCATATTTTTTGGAGATGACTGTAGATAGATGTGTAGCATTACCCATTTTCTGCTCAATGCTCCTCCCTTGCGTTTTCTTTGCTAGCAATGACATATCTGGAAGAAAAATGCTAATAATGGCAGGAAATGGGGAAAGCTTATACAAATTCATTCATTATAAACGGAACGATTTAACTGTATATATATATATATAGGAAAAGGTTCAACAACCAGACATGAAAAACAAAAAAGTAACATCCAGAATCTGGATTTTTATCCTACCATTTCTAAACATTCTCCGGCCGTTGTTCTAATAGCAAACAACATGGAGATGAAACGAATAAGGGAGAAAGAAAAGAGATAAATTAAATTTTTTCTCTAACAATTAGAAACACTTCCTGTGGACAATTGAGGGACCGGATTCATCATACTCTGCCTTTGCAATCCACATCTGCCACATGACAACAATTGTAAGTAAAATCTAACTTGAGAAACGGGAAATGGATGGGAATTGAAATTTGCATGAACTGACTCACCTGCTGGAAAGTACTCAGAGATGCCAAAATGGAGCCTCCAATCCAGACACTGTACTTCCTTTCAGGTGGAGCAACAACCTTGATTTTCATACTGCTTGGGGCGAGGGCAGTGATTTCTTTGCTCATTCTATCAGCAATCCCGGTGAACATGGTGGTGCCACCGCTAAGGACAATATTTCCATAAAGATCCTTCCTGATGTCAACATCGCACTTCATGATGGAGTTGTAGGTGGTCTCGTGGATCCCCGCGGCTTCCATTCCGATCATGGAAGGCTGGAAAAGCACCTCCGGGCACCGGAAACGCTCATTGCCGATGGTGATCACCTGCCCGTCCGGCAGCTCGTAGCTCTTCTCCACGGAAGAGCTAGTTTTTGACGATTCCAGTTCCTGTTCAAAATCTAGAGCTATATATGACAGCTTCTCCTTCATGTCCCTCACAATTTCACGCTCCGCTGATGTGGTAAATGAGTACCCACGCTCGGTTAAGATTTTCATCAGATTGTCAGTGAGATCACGACCGGCTAAATCAATACGTAGGATGGCATGTGGCAGAGCATATCCTTCATAGATTGGGACAGTGTGACTCACACCATCTCCAGAGTCCAACACAATACCTGCATCAAACAAATTACAAGAACATAGCATCTAATACCAACACATGTTTCATTTCAACAACCAATTTTCAAACACGAGATAACACTACACAAACAAACAGAAAAGGTCAAAACGGGTTACCTGTGGTACGACCACTGGCATATAGAGATAGAACAGCTTGGATGGCAACATACATTGCAGGGGCGTTAAATGTCTCAAACATGATTTGGGTCATCTTCTCACGGTTAGCCTTTGGGTTAAGAGGCGCCTCAGTTAGCAGCACGGGGTGCTCCTCTGGTGCCACGCGAAGTTCATTATAAAAAGTATGATGCCAAATCTTCTCCATGTCATCCCAATTGTTCACAATGCCATGCTCAATCGGGTACTTGAGAGTTAGGATACCACGCTTGGATTGAGCTTCATCCCCAACATAAGCATCTTTCTGGCCCATTCCAACCATCACACCGGTGTGGCGTGGGCGACCGACAATACTTGGAAACACAGCCCTGGGAGCATCATCCCCAGCAAATCCAGCCTAACAATCGGAATCAAAAAGACAGTAAATGATGGATATATGGTAATCATGGTTGAAAAAATCGCTAGGCACGGGGAGCTCAGGGAGTGCCTAGCGCCTAGGCGGGGATTAATCGGCGCCTAGTCGCCCGTGTATCTTTTATTTTTAAAAGAATTTGTTTAATTTTTTAAGACTTGATAATTATAAACTATTTAATACTTTAATAGTTAATACTAAAATATTAAATATTAACCTAAAAAACATCTAGAGTTTGAACAATTTAGGGTTTTTCTCTCAAAACGATGTTATTTTCAGTGAAATAACTCATTTAAAAAAGAATAGAACAATAGTTAATTGGCCGACTAGGCGACCTAGTTGGTGCCTAGGAGGCCTAGGCAGTTAGTGCCTAGGTGGCCTAGACGGAACTTAGGCAGCCGAGTTGGCCGCCTAGCCGGCCAGGCGCCTAGATCACCGATTATGGTGATCCGCTAGGCGGCCGGCCGGGATTTTTGCAACATTGATGGTAATAAAGAGTATATCATACTATCATCTACATTGATTTGATTGATGCTTGAAAGATTCAAATAAAAGATCCTATTGATACCTTAACCATTCCAGTCCCATTATCACAAACAAGCGGCTGAATATCCTCACCTTCTGCCATCTTCAATCAAAAACTATAAAAATTTGAAAGCTCTAAAATCAGAACAAATCTACACAAAATTAACAATAAAATTTCCTTCTGCATTGAACATTCCACATTATGAGGTAAATCTTCAACTCATGGACATAATTATAGATGACAACCATATCCTCTCATTTTCAACAAGGAACCATAAATTTGACATAGCAATTTAAAAAACCAAATATTGCACAAATGAAAAAACCTCCCATTTCTTGAATTGGAAAGGTTATGAATATGCAACCTTGTCCTTTTCATCTTGTAATCTTAATGCAATCAAAAAGACAAAACAAAAAAAAATGGAAAAGCATTGAAATGAATATGCAAAGAGGACATTACATTAGATCTCATACCCAAAAACAGAGAATTGGAAAATTAAAATGAACAACCTTTCCACCTTAGAGGTATGTAGGATTTGAATCTGTAGAGGAGAGGAAAAGAGAGAGGAGAGTAATTGAGAAAACAAAGAATGGAGCGGATTTTGTAATCGAAACCCAATTACCCGTTAACCCGCACATGTCGGGCTAGACCATCTGGGTCGTTGAGTGGTCCGTGGGTCGCAATTGTTTTTTGTCCATTCATTGTATCCACAATTTTGCTTATATTGTACTCCCTTTTAGGCTATTTCAATGCTTCTACTCACAAAATAACAAGAATAAAAATAAAGAATATATTTATTTTTATATTTTTTTTTGGTTTAAAAAATAAGAAATAGAGATGATGGATATATTATGCTCTGTGTGAATCGATTCGAGGAGACGGACCCGCAAATTATGCTGTGCAACCGTGTGTATCATGTATGGTGCACACGGTTGCAAAAACGACGTCGTTTTGACTAAAAACGCGCGTTCCACTTAAAAAAAAAAAAAATCAGGTTTGATTCCCGGCAATAGCATTTTTTTGTGCATAATTTGAATTATATATCTACAAACTCATAACTATATATCCACAGTGAATGAATAACACAAAATCCAGAATGAATGAACTAAATATCCACAATGAATGAACTAAATATCCACAATGAATGAACTAAATATCCATGAATTCATAACTATATATCCACAATAATTCATAACTATATATCCACAATAATGCTGTTGAGGGGAATCGAAACTGATTTTTTTTTTTTTAAATAGGACGCGCGTTTTTAGTCAAAACGACATCGTTTTGCATGGTGCACACGGTTGCACAACATAACTATTGGAGACGGACCAGGGGCACCTTAGCACAAGGCACCACGGCCCAAGCTACCTCAACCCAGGGTGCTTGGGTCGTGATCACCTCGGCCTAAGGAGCTCAGCTAGGCCGAGCTCAGGCCACAAGGAGCTCGGCTAGGCTGAGCCGGTCCATGTTGAGCTAAGCTGGGGTCGAGCTTCCTCCCCATAATGAGCTCGGGCGCGCTTTGGACCCGGTTTTGGGCCAGGACGTGGTCAAACCGGTAGATCCAACCACCCCCGATTTAGGGGGTGCGGTTGGGGGGTTTATTTGATATAAAAACCCCACACCTTGTCTCATTAAGACACATTCACATTATCTTACATATTTTGTCATAATCAAGCATTGTAATAGTTTATTAGCGATATTTAATACAATATGTTGGAAAAAATAGCTTAAAATGGCATATTAAGTGGCTATTTTGTGATACAATTACCAGTGGGGTCCACTTCTGATTTGAGTCGGGTCAAAGTGGATTCGGGTTCTTCGTAGTAAGACGAAGAGATTGATATATTGTACGCTCAAAACGGATAATGGGTGAATGAGATATTGATTCTCAAAGTAGACCTATTTGAGTTGGGAAATGAAGGGAAAAAGTGTGTTTTGTCCCACATTGGTTTGGAAAGTGGATTTGCCCCCTTTATATACAAGAGCTCTTTTGAAGCTTGTAGAATTGTATAGCATAGAGGCTCTCTCGCGCGAGGGGGAGGGGGGGGGGTGTAAATCAAATTCCAACTAGACAACTGAGGTAGAGCAGTAGCATTTTACAGTACTAGAAACCGGGTTCGAATCGTAGCACGTTTTATCCTAGAAACCGGGTTCGAATCGTAGCACGTTTTATCCTGGGAAACCTAGGCTACAACGCTCCTAACACTTGTGGGAGGTAGCAAATAAGGTTTTAAGGAAAAAGAACTTTGTGTTCAAACTCGTGCTAACCCTTACCCAGTTTTCTCCACCTTTTTCTTCCCAGTTTTTCTATTTTTTCCCATAGAATAATAATCTTTCCGTAGGATTATTATTTTGGATTTTCCACCATATTACCCAACACAATATACGGTCTCCGCGACCTTATGACATTGTTTGTCTATCTATTCTTATGCCTTTACTATTTACGTTCTTTATCGAGTTTAGTAATTCGGGCCGCCCCGAATTAATTAAATCCATCAAGAAAAATAATAATTCATCGAAAAAATGAAAATTAAAAAAATTGGAGAGTTAAATTAAATGTTATTTATCTCGGAGTATTGTAAATATTTTATTGAGAAAATTTCAATTTTGATCCACTGACTATTGGGGCTGTGTTAATTGCAACACTTGACTTTCAAAAATATTTATTTAGTACCTTGACTATGCAATTCTTATCAATTTTGATCACGCCGGCCAAATTACCGGCCAAATGTGACCGGAAATTTTTAACTCATTAAATCAAAGGGGCAAAAGCGTCATTTCAGGTAATTCAAACCTCCTCTTCTCCCCCCGGCCTCCTTCTCGCTTTTCTCCGATCTCCTCCTCTTCGCTGCCGGCTTCCAACTCATTAAATCTGATGACTCTTCCTCGTCAAAGGCGTCCACGACGAGCTCGAGATCACAATTCAAGCTCATCATTTTCTATCTCCTTCCTTGCTTCTTCTTCCGACGTGAAAGTCGATTCCGTCTTATTCCACATGATTCTTCACTTACATGGCTCCATCGACAGAATTTTCGGCTATGGGGTTGAGGTGCTTGAGATATGGCTAAACATGGCACCACTGTAATATAATGTAATCCTTTCTAGTCCAGCAGCAGCAATGTAATCAATATAATAATATCCAGACAAACAAACAAACAGAGCAACTTGATCTAAATAACTTACTGTCCATTATTGCACTGCAAATTAAACCAAACTAAGATAAAAGTAAAACAATTATATATAATGAATGAATGAATCAATCAATCAATCTTGACAGATGAGAATAGGCGATGCCCGAACATGAAGGTGGTGAGGAAGCCGATGGCTCCCGTGGCGAGCATGACAACCAGCGCCATCAACAGCGAGTAGCCCAAGTAGAGAAGCGCTGAGACAGGTCCACTAAGGCTCTTGAGGTCGAAAACTCGGTAGTTTATGGAGTAGAGGAAGATATAGAGCGCCACCGAGCCCGACGCAAAGAAGGACTTCCACCACCACCTCGAGCAAGACACTCTCTATGAAATCGAGAATCACCCGGTTGGATCCCCACACTTGATCGTATTCAACAGCCAAACCCCAATATAGCCTGCCACAATCCCCAACAACCGGTAGAATGACAGCATCCCTGTGATCAGGCTGCCCCGTGAAGCCGGTGACATGAACCCAAGAGCTGCAAAGAAAATGGTGGCAACAGCCATTCCCAGAATCTGGCACCCATATCCCACCACCATGCACAGAAGCTCCACGCTCTCCGGAGCCCTGAACACATCCCCAACCACCAGTTTCCACCCAGATAGCTGCGCATTCATCTGAGCCTGAGCTTACATGCATTTTCGGAAGAAGAATCAAAGAAGGAGAAAGAAAGCGATGAGCTTGAATTGTGATCTCGAGATCGTTGTGGACGCCTTTGACAAGGCAAGAGTCATCGGATTTAATGAGTTGGAAGCCGGCAGCGAAGAGGAGAAGGAGATCGGAGAAAAGCCAGAAGGATGCCTGTGGGAGAAGAAGATGTTTGAATGACATGAAATGACGCTTTTGCCCCTTTGATTTAATGAGTTAAAAATTTCCGGTCACATTTAGCCGGTAATTTGGCCGGCGTGACCAAAATTGATAAGAATTGCATAGTCAAGGTACTAAATAAATATTTTTGAAAGTCAAGTGTTGTAATTAACACAACCCCAATAGTCAGTGGATCAAAATTGAAATTTTCTCTATTTTATTTATAATCTAGATTATTCTAAAGACTTTTACGAGTAGTAAAAATAAAATTTTAATAATAATAACATTTCTAATATTTTGAGCTATTAGTAAAAATATTTATATAAATTTTTCATTCTATTTTCTTCGAAGAGAAAGAAGAAAAACATTCAACTTTAATTTTATTCATAAGTGTCGCGCTATATATTCATTAGTTTCATCGTTGTTGCATAACGAAGATGACAACGACGATAATAATAATAATAAGAGAAAAGGGTCAAATAGACCCCTAAACATTACCCTAAAGGTCAATTAGCCCCCTAAACTTTATAAAAGGTCAATTAAACAATCAAACATGCTAAATTTGTTCAATGAAACCCAAAAACTGGTAAATAACCTGTTTTTACCGGTCATTTTAATTCCGGCGACGAAATTCGGCCACCGGTGACGGATTCCGACGGCCGGCGAATTAATTTTCCGGCCGTCCGGTCCTCTTCCACAGGAGAAGACGACCGGACGGCCGCCTTCTCCAGCCTTCTCCAATGGAGAAGGCGGCAGGCGGCCGTCTGCCGCCTTCTCCAGTGGGGAAGACGACCAGATATGGTATATATATATATATATATATATATGTATATATATATATATATATATATATATATACATATATATGTGTATATATATATATATATATATATATATATATATATATACATATATGTATATGTATATACATATATATATATATATATATACATACATATATATATGTATGTATATATATATATATGTATGTATATATATATGTATATACATATATGTATATATATATATATATATATATATATATATACATACATATATATATATACATATATATATATATATATATACATGTATATGTATATACATATATATATATATACCCCTCTCCACGTCCCTTACTCGTCTTTTGAAAGACGTCATCCTGGATATATATATATACATATATATATAATCGCATTCAAGTGCGAATGCTTCGCCCAGGAGCGAAATAGGAATGGATTCTGTCTGTGATGAGGACATTTTTCACGCATCCATCAAGTATAGGGTTTAGATATCGTTTCACTCGTGATGGCTCTTGTTATGTTAGGAATTGATGTAAAGTGGAGTTAAGCACAAGCTAGAACTACCCTTTTAGAAGCTAGATCTATCGATAAGGAGATGATTTGATATGATTAAGCTAATAACAAATAAGACAAGTAAAACAAAGGACCGGGACTTGGTTGATTCAAGCTAAGATGCCAAATATTATACTAAGGATTAGAGAATTAAATCAAGCCATAGGGTAAGTGAGATGCACAAAAGTGTCCAAATACCACTTTCGTAGCTATTTGGACTTGCAACCTCACATTGAACTCCACTCACGTGACAATTCAACCCATGGATGCCCAAACAAGAACACAAGGCAAAGATTCCCCTTAACACCCAAAATACTCTCGTATTGGGTATAAGTGTGTGAATGTGTGGCTAGTGTACAAGCTCTACTCTCGTAGCAACAAACACACTCCAA